CTGCACCACCTCCTCAGAGGGGTCGCGCCAACATTGAATGAGGGGGCGCGGGGGTTGCTATGCGACCCTTCCAGGGTAAAGTGGTGAGGTGGTGCAGGATTTTGTCCATCAACAGTATCACCACCAGCTAGGTTTCTGTTGATTGTGTCCATCTAAATCTAGACCAGACTAGATCAGCAAACTCATTGCCCAAAGCTTAGAACTCCTGTATTGGCGGTACATTTGTTGACATGGGTGTGCCCAATCAAGGTCTTTTGGGAAGTGAATGGTCAAAGGAGCGTGTTCGCATGCGTTCGCAGCTTAACCAGGTGGATCAACTTCGAGTTGCACCCCAACAGCTTAACCAGGTGGGAGGCCATCTACGCTCCTTCCAGTTTCACTCGTCGTTCTTCCTGGGACCCTCCCTCCGGGCCTCGCCGGTTCGGACGGCGAGCCTTCGCCGGACGGCGTTCGGCGGGCGCGGCGCAGGACGTGCATGAAACCCGAAGCCATGAGACCTGCGATTACGACGGCCACGATGGCCACCAGGAGTGGGAGCATGAAACCTAGAGGGAGGTTCACTTGGGAAGTGGAAACGAGCAGGCGTGGGTGTGTTGGGAGAAGCGGGTAGGTAGAGCACTGTGTTGGAAACTCAGTTGATCTCGTCTTCCAGGAGCCTCCAGAAGTACAGGATGGTGGGGGGCCTCACTAGCCGCGAACATCGCGACGGCCTGACTGGTCGGCCTGACGGGGACGGGTGAGGATGGGCCGATGCGTTTCGACCTCCCTCCCAGACATGTCAACCTGGAGCGGGGATAGGCGAAGCAAGCAAGCAAGGACGATACACAGCTCAAGACATCTTTGAACTATCAAGTGGCCTCATTGCAGGGACCTTCTCTATCAAAGCCACATGTGATTCTTCTTGGAAGTGTGTGTATGTGTGTCAACCGAATCGCTGGTCGTCATTCTAAATGTTATTTAGGAACGTTGCGACCGTGAAGCCACGAATTAATGCTATTTTTAAGTCTATATATTTCTTCAGTGGATGGAAAGGAATATCGGGGACAGCGGACTCTTTTTCTGGCAAATCCCAGTCCATGTTTGGCAAAGAGTGTTTCAAGAAGAAAATCAATTGGGAAGACTGATGGTTGAGCCAAGAATTTCAATTTGGTAATTCCCAAGTTGAAACTAACTGGTCGGCGCTTGTGAGGGGATTTTGTTGCACCAGTTGGAACGCTGGTGACCTGGTTCTGCCGCCTCATGCCGCCACTCGCGCTTTTATCGCGCCATGAAGTTCTGCTCACTGAGGCTTCTCAGACATCGGCAGCGGGTCGCTTAGGCGCCGGAGACGGAGGACGTGTTGATGTCGACCCCAACTGAATCAGTCTTAAGGTAGATTCAGTGTTGCGAGTGCTGGTGTCCACTTGATTCAGTCTACCAGTAAACCAGGTACCTGGACCTTCCGACCTGGGGGGTGCCCTGTTTGGAGGTCCAGTCCCAGGGGCTCAAAACGGCCAGACACTCCAAGCCCCCTTCCAGACCACTCCAGCCCGAACCGTTCCCGGCTAGCCGGTGGGCCACCAAAGCGAAGAAGCCAAGGGTCGGTGCTCGTGGCAACAACGCATTTTCACCAGGAAAGAGATGGATTTCGATTCATCCATCCAGATGTGCGAAACATCGGTACGCGTCGCTCAGTCGCTCGGTGTCCCGTTCGACCGAAGGACCAAAGGCCTCTTGAACGTCTCGACTTTCGCTCTAGGCAGCTGGGTGTGCCAGCGCTCAGCGATGTCGGGCTGCTCAGCCTCGCGGTTGGCCGGTTCGGTCAACAGAGACTCAAAGAAGAGGACTTGTTAGGGGGAAAAAGCATCGGCCTATTGCTATTTGTTTGGAGGCCATTGCTAGTAGGTTGGAGGCCATCACTAGTAGGCTGGAGGCTATCGCTAGTAGGTTGGAGGCTATCGCTAGTAGGTTGGAGGCCATCGCCAGTAGGTTGGAGGCCATTACTATTAGGTTGGAGAGGGAACATCGGCCTATTTGGGAACCAATTGGGTGGAAGTTGGGAGAAACCTGAGAGATGCCTCTCCCACCCCCCAAAAGAAAGTGGAATATGGGTGTTGTGTTTGAAGAAACCTTCCAACCAAGTGGTCATTCGGCTAATATTTACTTGCTCTTCCCATCATTTCTGGCAAATGTGGGGTGTCCAAAGATTACATTTCCAATGTACAGACTCAAGCCTTTGAGCCTCGAGCACATTGTTCCACCGGATTTCCTGTGCTCATTTGACATGGCGTTGGTCGAGCCAAAGAAGGTTGCAGGTGGTGCTTTTGGGCAGTTCTTAGCCGAGAAGCGCTCGGAGCTACAGAAGGAGCTTCAAGGAAAGCCTGTGACGGAGATTACGAAGCTGGCCTCGGCCAAGTTTAAGGCTTTGAGTGAAGAGGAGCGGGCCATCTATCAGGAGAAGTACTTGACTGCCAAGGCCAAGTATGAAGCGGACCTGAAGGCATTCGAGGAAGCCGGAGGTGAGAAGAAGCAGCGCAAAGCTAAGGGCAAGAAGGATGGCAAGAAGAAGAAAGACCCAGATGCCCCCAAGCGCCCTGGGGGAGGCGCCTATGGTTGCTTTCTGGCCAAGCACCGCGCGGCTTTCCAAAAGGAGACCGCTGGTCAACCAGTCACCGCAGTGACCAAGCTGGCATCTGCCAAGTGGAGCGCGCTGAGTGCAGACGAGAAAAAGATCTATGAGGATGAGTATAAGGCCAAGAAGGAAGCCTATGACGAAGCCATGAAGTCCTACGTGCCGCGTGAGGGTGCTGAAGAGCCGGCAGTGAAGAAGCCGCGTTTGGAGGCCAAGGAGGCCAAGGTGATGGACAAGGAGCCCAAGGCAAAGGCTGCAGCTGATGGCCCGAAACGCGCGCGCGGCCGCCCAAGGGCAGATGGAGCGGCAAAGGCGGTGAAAGCCAAGGCGCCCAAGGGTGAGGAGGTGGAGCTGCAGGCGACAGTCTTAGCAAAGGCTGAGAAGGTTGGCATGTCCGAAGCTTTGAGGAAGTTGGCCAACCGCGAGGATATCAAAGCCAGTGGGAAGAGTCAAAGTGCCATGCTCAAGGCTTTGGAGGAGAATCGTGGACTCGTGCACCCTGCCAAGCGAGCACTCTTGGGTGCGTGAGCGACCGATTTAAGGGGACGGCAATCGCGAAGAGTCAGCCGCCATGCGGGGCGAATGCCACGGTGAGCTGGAGATTCGTTGGGAGCGATTGCCAGTTGCTAATTGAACAGGTTGACCGCAGCTACATGCCGGAAGGATCATTTGTGGCTGCGGGCGTGTGTGTTTCAAGCGATGAAGGCTTGGGGGAAAAGAACAAACATTGCAAAGAAACAAATTGCAAAAAGCTGGGGGGCGTCCGATCCACACCCAGATCCACACCCATCCATACCCATCCTTCTTGCAGATCCACCCTCATCCAGCTCCACACCCGTCCCGATGTGGCCGGACGCATCGCCGGACGCATCGCCGCACCCCGTCCTCGGTGCTCAGACAGAGATGGCGTTGGCCACGATGACCGAGACGTGCAGCTGCGGAACCGCCGATGGCGGGGGGTGGGGGAGGTACGGTGTGGCGCTGGTGGTGTTGGGTACCACTGGACATGGTGAATTGGTAAGCACATGTAAGAACGATACCCTTGGGTTCAAACTTATCCTCTGACTCACTAACATGGAAGTGGAGAATTACAAACAGGTGGTTTTCCACTTCCATGTTAGTTCCAGGGAGAGTAAGCAGTGTGTCTTACCGTTCCAACCTCGCAAGGCATCAGGCAGACCTGTTGTAGACGGGTGCAAGATCTTTGACGGGCCGTGACGGGTGCAAGATCTGGATGTTGGTATCGAAATCGATCGAATACTCAAACTGAACCATGTAACATATACAATGGAACATCAAACGGGTCTCCTCGTTCGAGGCTTGTTGGGCTTTAACAGGTCTCACTTGGTGACCTGTCGGAGGGTACTGGAAGAAAGCTATGCGGGAAATTCTGGGATCCCAACCATTATGGTTTTAAAATGGTCTTTACCCAACAACCTTAATAACTGTTACATACAAGCTACAAGATGCTACAAGGATTTTAGACCACCAAACCAGGTCAACCTTTCTTTTACTGCTCTTGGAAGGCTAGCGTCCACTTGACTACGACTCGCACCCACTGCACCGGCGCTGCGACACGGTAACCGTGTGGAAAAAATCCGTCCCCAGGCGACCACGTGTTCACTCATGTTTGATCGAGAGGGATCGTGAGGGTCAGATTTCCAGACTTGGTGATTTATGAGGATTTATGAGGCTTTAGGGTCCAGATCTTAAGTCAATTCTTCCACTTGCAGTTGGTTTGACCATGATCACTGCTGTTTTGTTGAGAGAAACAATATGAAACAATGACAGACCGTCTGAGCACGAGACAAGAGGCGTTGGCCAACCAGTCTGGTCAGGTGGTAGGTGGTCTGGTAAGGTGGTAGGCCTCACAGGTCGGCAAGAGGCCTCACAGGTCGGCTATCCGGTGATGATTCTTCCACATCCCCTATAGATCAGGTTAGACAATGTCCTGTCTAATAGTTAATTCCTTATTTCCTAACTAATTAGATACTGTCTTAGGTTGCTATAAGGTAGTTTTTTTTAGACTACAACAACCTTAACTAAAAAATATAACCTTATCTTTTAAGAAAAATATCTTTCTTTTTGCCTTGAAAATCAAATTGTTTGTTGTTGTCTTTTTTGAGGAAGTTTTTGTAGGATTACTCCTGGTTTTTGTGTGCGCAGTTTCCAATGAGATGTGCTGTGTTTAGTGCTCCTTGTAGAGGATCAATGCACCTTTTCAACATGTGTCAAAGCAATTGAACAATGCAAGGTTAATCATGTTGTGAAAAGATTTACAAAGGTATCACACAACCACACAACCACAGTACAAGCAGCCAGCCATTTAAAAGCAGTTTTCACCCATCCAGACAAATCCAGCAGCTTCCAGCACCATGAGTGGCAAATCAAGACTGGGGCCGGACCCTTCTGTTGGAATTGCTGACCTTCAGAAACAAGTCTGGGAAGTGACTGAAAGGCAGGGCTGCAAAGGAAGATTTTGCATTGCAAGCAGCAAGTCACTTGGAAATCAGCTCCCCTGGCAGATTGGTTGGGGGGCGATGCAATGTGTGACTTCTACTGCAGCTTGTTCTCAGTTTGCACAAATGGTGTGATAGCTTCGCTAAAATTGAAGAAGGCCTTGCTGGGCTTGCAATCAGAAAAGGGCAGGCTGAACTTGTCCAAGCACCATGATTGTGATTGGAGCGACGAGACAGACAGCTTGGTTAGGATTGGGGCCCAGCAATACAGATCCCTGAAGAAGGATCCTGTGGTATACAATCGTTGCATCAAGAAGGCCACTCTCAATGAGAAGGCCAACATCGACAGGGTCTTGGCCTGCTTGAAATTCTCTGAGCAAGAACCAGAAGTTACAAATCCTAAGGCTTTGCCTTTGGAGGTCGATGAGACCATTGGTCCAAGCCCTTCAGATCTTGGCCTGGTTTTTGACAAAGTTCTAAAAAGAAAGGCAAGTGATCCAGCTTCACCCTCCTTCACTAAGTCCAACAAGGACACTTTGGCTGGTGGTGACAATGTGGCCAGCAGTTCTGGTGGCCAGCAGTGATCCTGGGTTTGGAAGCAGATGAAGCAGCAGAGCTCAAGTCTTGGATGGAGCAAGTTTCCTGTGGTGAAAAGAGAACAAAAAAGCAAAGAGCTGCTGGGTGCCTGAAGAAGCCTGCTTCACAGAATGCTGTGCCTGAAAAGAAGGCAGCAGGAAAGAAACCTTCCAAGCCTGCTGTGAAGATTTGGCACAAAGCACAGACCACCTACAAGACTACATTCATGCACCGTGCTACATCCTCCTCTTGGAACAAGGCCAAGAAGGCTGCTTTGAAGCAAGGGAAGTCTTTAAGAGCAGCAGGCAGGGAAGCTGCTGACAAGGTCAGGCAAGACATTATGAATGGCTTGCTGGAAGAGCAATAGGCTCTTTTCTGGGATAGTGAACCTTGGGTGTGAAAAAGATGTGAGCTGCTTGTGTTTAGTTCTAGGACTACTCTTTGGTTCTAGGATTACTGTTCGTCTTGGATTACAATTTGCGTAGGATTACTGTTTGCCTAGGATTACTGTTTGTCTAGCATTACTGTTTGCCTCGGATTGCTGTTTGCCTAGGAGGACTGTTTGTCTAGGATTACTGTTTGCCTAGGATTACTGTTTGCCTAGGATTACTCTTTGCCTAGGATTACTGTTTGCCTAGGATTATTGTTTGCGCTTTAGGCATACTGTGTGTTCCACTGTTCCACACTGCACAATTTCATTGCTCACAGCAGCAAAACAAAAAGACAACAGCAATATCTAACAAGTCAAAGCTGCAATAGGCACATAACCAAAGAAACCACATGAACGCACAATCCCAAACACACACACACACACACACCACTCTTGTCGACAAAGACAAACACACACCAACACCTTTTCAAAATGAGCCAGGGCCAGTGGAGTTGCCATGAGGGGAGGTTGTATGTGCGCAACCTTCCCCTGGAGATGGAGTGGTGGGAGGTGCTGGACTTTTGCCAGTCGATTGGCATTCAGAGGCCAACCTACTGCCACCTTCTTCAAGGAGGAATGGATGTGAGGAGTTGCTACTTGCACTTTGATTGGATGGCTGAGAGTGAAAAAGCATTTGTGCTGGAGCGACTCAATGCTGGTTGGTGGTTGAGCCACAAGCCTTTGCTGGCTGCAGAGGCGACTGTGCCCCCAGTGTCTTGGCTCAAGCACTTTGTGGGGGAATGGCTTTCCACCATGGAAGTTGTAGGGGTCGTGGGAGGACCACCTTTTTGGATTACCATGGGTATTCCAAAGATGGCAATGGCAACATTGCCAGAGGACAGTGTCCTTGCTGTCAGATGCCATGGCCCCCATGCCCCCTTTGCTTTGCTTCTTGATTCATTTTGTCGCCCTAGGATTACTATAGGGAAACCTTCCAGGGTATTTGGATACCGAGCAAGTGTAGAGCCCATCTGAGGCACAGGTGAAGCACACACCGTTGCTGGGCTGCATGAAGACTTTTAAGATTACTGCGTCAAGATTTTCTATTAGTATTACTGGCTTCTGGGTTTTCTTTAGGATTACCTTAGGATTACTGGTTTCTTAGATTTCTTTAGGATTACTGACTGCAATACTGTGCAAAGTTCAGGTATGGCAGCGCAACTGCAAGGATCCAGATGGAGTGGGAGCAATTGAGCCAAGCACAGTGGCTTGTCTCATAGTGCAGAAATAGGATTACTTTCAATGTGCACAATGTGCAAGCTTCATGATGCCATCTTCTAAGGAGAGACCGCCTGGGCTTCCCAACTTCAAGGCCTTTGCTGACCAGTACATGCTGCACCTGTATCTTGGTTGCTGAAAGAATTGCAGTCTTTTGAGTTGCGCAAAAAATGTTGAGCAGTCTACCAACATTTTTGACCCAGGCGACCAGGGGTTTCGATCCTGCGGTGAGGCATCTGGTCAGCAATGGTTGGGAGGTTTACTGTGAAGTAGGATTACTGTGAATTAGAAATTGTCTTGGTAATTGAGCCACTCAGGCCCTATGTACCAAAAGGATCTGCTTCTTCTGAGCCTGCTGCAGGGGCACTGAGACTTGGTAGGATTACTGGACTGTTCTTGTGGTAGGATTACTGAGCTTGTTGTAGTGTAGGGTTATTGACCTGCAAACTCAGTAGTGTGGCTGCCAAGCCAGTGGCTCCTTCTTCGAACTTAAGATGCACTAGCAATCTGTAGGCTTACTGTATGCAATTGAGGAGTGGTTAGGATTACTGTGGATGAATCTGGTGACCTGCCTCGGTATCCACTTGACTCTTCTGGATGGCCTGTAAAGGGAGTGCTGTACAGGTGAAAAATCTACCAGTGAAATCACCGCCTCCTGTCAAAACTGCTCCTTCTGATGGCTCAAAGTGCTTTGGCTGCATCTGTATTCCTCTGTTTGATTTTAGTTTACATAGGTGCAATCCTGCCAATGTCAGTTTTCCATTGAGGGCAAATCCAAAGGGCAAAGCAGAGTGACTGGGATGCAGAAGTAGATCTCAATGTTTGTTGCTGTAGTTGCCCCTGTATGAGGCCACCGACTTACAGCCCTACTGTCGAAGAGATGGATATGATTGATGAGATGTTGAAACTATTTTGCACTGGAAGGGTAACTTTTTGAGAATCATGGGAAGGTTTTGTTCATGACAAACTCAGGGATGAGGCGCTGCAAGGGCCTTGGCCAAAAGGAAGGCCAAAGCCTGGGTGACTCCATTGCAAAAGACCACTGTTACTGATTATTTTTTGTTTCTGTGTATTTAGGATTACTGTGTGCTGTCTGCGATGAGGATTACTGTGTGTTTAGTATTACTGTTCAGGATTGCTGGATTGCAAAAGTGTTGTTGAGTTGGGCTTTGGGCTACCTTTTGTTGTTTTTTTCGCGTAGCTGAGGACCTTGGCAAAATCTCCAGCAGCAGAGGCTACACCCATTCCTCCAATGCCAATGGGTTGCAA